TTACAAAACGTTTTTGATTGGTTTGAATTCCTATCAACCGGAAATGAAAGCGTAAACCGAATTGTTCACCTTTAATACTATCTCTTTTTAATTTTTTTTTGTGTTAGATGAAATAAATAAATGGGAAGAAGAGTTAATTTACAGCGGAGATATCGTCGGAGTCGACGGCGAGACACTCGTCATTGGGGGTATAGATACCGAAGATGGAACCGGTGGAGACGGCGGCGTCAATGTTGGAGGAACCATCAAGAGGGTCGAAGACGACAATGTAGTTGCCGGAGTAGCTTTCCTCCACGGCCACTGGCACGTCCTCTTCCTCTGACGCAATGATTCCTGTTCTTCCACTTGATCTTAAACAGTTCGAAAACACCTGCATGCACCATCCTCAATCTTTTTATTATGTCATATATACATATATATTTATCCACCAATTTCCATCATGTGTAAACTATATGCTTTGTTCTTTTGTAGACTGAAAAATTAAGTGGTATACTTTAGCTAGTATAATTACATATTATTTAATTATCATCATTGTATTTCATATGAGCCATAAATTAAATAACTTTTGATAAAATAAGTGAATTGGTAATAATTCTTTAACTATATTTTTTTTGTTTGGTTAAGGTTAATGTTCAAATTAAATTTTGTTTCTAAAAAATCACTGATTCCAAAGGTAATATTGCTTTTAAGAATATCCAAAAAAGCACGTGTATGGAAAATATTTTAACCTCATTGGAGACAACGTCAAGCTTCTTCTGATCCTCTCCCTGAATATTAACGGCACCTTGAACGCCGGTAAGATTAGAGATTCCGGATCTCTGAACAAGCGAAGCAATCTGTTTACAAGCCATAGATATGCTCGACATAACTATCGCCATCTCTGTATCTATCTCTCCTTTCTGCTCTTGTCTCAACAACCAGCTCGTCAACGTCTGAAGCTCGTACCCACTCTTCTTCCTCGCCGGAGTTTTCGTATCCGCCGTAGCATCCGCCGCCACCGCCATACACCTCACTCCACCACCACCATGATGGTTTCTCCCGGAAGCTGCTCGTTTCACGCCGGAGAAGAGAGATCTCGGGAAAAGGATTCGCGGCTGAGATGTGGTGGCCACGTGGCGAGAGCTTGAGAGAAGAAGGTGAGAAGACGACGATGTTGTTGCGGCGGTTGCTGCCATTTTTGTGTGTGTTGGTTTGAGAAACTTGGGAGGTTTGAGGTAGGGAGAAAGGTTTGTGTGTTTGGACTTTGGAGGTGGAGAGAGAGGATCGGATTGTGAGGTGGACAAAGGATTCGATTCATGTGGGTCCTTACTTATCTTTTTGGAGTTGACACGTGGCGATGCTCTTACGGACCTAAAATCCAAAGCATGAAATATATGATAAGCATAAGCAGGCCAATTTTGTTTGTTGTGTAAGGATTAGTATAGCTAGTGTTGTTATAAGAGTTGGGCCTAATGTAAAGTTTTGTTTATCTTTAGCGAAACCCAAGACCGCAATACAAAAATTTGAAGGATATTTGTAGGCGTGACCGTATAAACCAAACCAAATCAAAGCAAATTGAGATTTTTTTTTTTTAAAAAGAAATGATTTTATGATATGATGGGTTAACAAATTGGTCGAAGTTTTTGGTTCAATGATTGATCTGAAGTGTTTCTACTCCACGTTAGAGATCCGATTCCTAGAGATCATATACATTTGGAAGCAAATTTATCGAAACTTTTAGCATGATGTAGTTAAGCTGTATATCGTGATTTCAAAATAGTAAGTTAACCAGTATGAGCGTGATGTAGGTAGAAACGTCTATCGTAAATCATTGTAGTAGTGCTGGTATAATTGTGAGTTGTTGAATCAGATGTATAACTGCCAGTGCTCACCATGCTTAATTGCATAAATTAAATTTGATGGTCGTAAAAAATTGTAAGAGTTTATAAAAAGGATAAAATTATAAAAAGAAGATACTGTAATAGGCGAACAAAAAAGGGTTGACAAATTGAGATAACAAGACTGTTGTAAG